ATTATATCCAATCAGCAAACGGAAAGAACTCTTTCTCCTGTTATCTACTCGAGATTTATGAAGAAATATGTGGAAAACATTAATGAAACAGTCAGCGAAATTCGTCAATTCGAGCAAGTGCCGTTTATTACACTTTTAAAATTAATTCGCATTAAACTGAAAAAGCTGAAATCACCGAGTAATGAAGTCTTGAATCGTCTTCATAAAACTATATTTTTTAATTTTCGCTATCAATTAGAAAAAAATCATGGGTCGGTACTGGGAAAAGGAGAAACTCAACCACCAATAGATTGCATTCATGAAATTGAAATTGAAATTGATTGTATGAAAAGCAGTTATTGTTGTAAAATCAGAATGAAAAATCGCAGAAATAATCGCGAACGTATTTTGGCATTGTGTCAACGGATGATTTCTTTCTTACAACAAATGTCAGTTAATTCTAACATCCAAGAAATAAACATTGGAAAGGATGGGGATGAAGAAATTAAGAAAAATTCTCCTCAATTCTTTATGAATAATTATGAAGAGAATGTTGTTGAGTTAAAGTTGAGAAGAATTTGGAGTGAATGTTTGAAGAAGAAATGGATCGGAGATGATGATGATTTTTTTCTGGAAGGTGGAACTTCGTTGCTTACTCTTAAATTAAGACGTCTTATTGAATCCGAATTGGAAATTCATATTGAACTTGACGAAATATTCACATACAGCACGTTCACAGAGCTAAATAGTTTATTGCAAAAGCGATTTATCAGCAGTAATCATTCCCTTCCAAATAAGAGAAACAGATTCATGAATTCTGAATCTGAAAGAAACAACGATTTAGCATCACAGAAGCGTAGCACAGTAGAAGAGACGGAAAATTTGCAAACAACCGAAAATCGAACGACAACAACAACAATTCGATTGTTTCATCAAAGCGAATCAAACACTGATGTCACAAGAAATGGTATAATTGTTTTGTTCCACGCACTCGTGGGTGGCGTAACATGGACATATGCGTCAATGATTCGGCAGCTAATAAGAAAATTACCGGGCTCATTTACAATAATTGGTGTTGAACACCCTGATAGTTTTTCTCGATGTCGTTCAAGGGATCCCAAATTTTATCGGTCTATTGAATGTTTATGTTCTGAATATGTACGCGATTTGTATGATCATTTATGCAAAATAAAAATGCGCATATTTATCGGTGCATCATTTGGCGCTATTTTGGCTTATCAATGTGCTACACAGCTACAACGAGAAGGTAAATTCTTGCTGTTTAGATTAAAATAAACCTATTGAGACCAGTAATGAAATTTGTGTGGCGCCATGATTAACTTCAAACATTTTATGCATCACAAAGAAAATTTATAAAAATTCTTGAATCTCATGTATTTTTTTTCTATCCCAAACGTTATTTCAGGTATTCATATAGATGATATAATATCAATTGATGGAACGGCACATTGGCGCAGCAATACAACCTCAACAGAACTGTCGTCTTACGAGGAGCATCGCCAGCAGATCAGTAAAATTGTAGAATATCAAACTGGTGGCATGAAAATCGACAGTGAACTATTAGAAGCAATGGTTGAAAATGCATGGGAGTTGCTAAAGATGATGCGTATTTATGTCCCAAGTCGAAGTTCGGAAATTCCTTCTCGACTTCACGTAACCTTCCTAAAATCATCGTTCCAAAAAACTTCATATGAAGATGATTATGGTTGGATGAACCTCTGCTCTAGAACTACGGTTGATATACCATTTTCGCATGATACGATGCTTCATGATCACAACGTTGATATGATTGTTGATATCATCTTACAAATTATACAGAAGCTAAACGAATGAGATTGTTTTTAACTTTATCGAAATACCACTAATGTTGCTTAGATACTATCTGGAGCTCATTTTTTGGCCGCTTTCTTAATTAACTTCTTACTGAAGCTATTAACTATTGACAAATCATCTAATGTTACCTACCTTCGGGTAAATCTTGAATAGAATCCTGAATATCCTTCGTTTCTAAAGCTAAATATATCAATATCTAAACTATGGGAATTTTTTGTCGTTTTCGGCCAATTATGATGATTGTAGCTCAAAGACTTCATGAACAGAACATTTCACTAAATTCGAAAAAAAGTGTCAAAGATTTTTAGCACTTTCCTCCATATTTCCACATTTTTGTTGATTCTTGTGAATAAAGTATTTTGCTTTGAAATAATATTTATTACAATATAAATGCAATAAATATATGGAATAAGTAAAAACTTTCATACAAACATACTTCAAAGAGATAACATTTATTTGACATTTTTCTTCTTTAACATATCAAACCGTTTCGCCAAATCATCAAAATCAAGTTCATTATTTGCACCAGCACTACCTGGTTGCTGTTCGTCATTATTTTTTGCTGGATCGAACATTTCCGGAAAATCAGTCGGTGGTTCAGGGAATTCTGGGGTTGCTGCAACGTTGCAATCATTTCGTAGTTAATGAAAACTGATTGCAAGCATTGCAATCATTTCATAGTTAACCCAAAATTCTCATTCTAAAATTGGCATTCTTCTTTTATGTTATTTTTATGAAAATAATAAAATAAAAGAGACAACTAACTACCAAGATTCATTTTTGATGGGACTGAATTAACATCTGTGGGGGGCGCCGATGGAACCCCTGGTGATGTATTCGGCTTGATTTTGATGCTTCCCGATGAATCACCGACCTATAAAACGATCTCTTAATTTTTTTTGTAACTTGTCGTTTGCAAAACAATTAAGAGAAAGAATGAAATGCTTCATCGAAACTAACTGGATCAGTGGTGGCGGCTCAAATCGTCGAACAATGAGCATCAGAAAAAGGAAAAACAATCAACACATTTTCAAAATAACGGTGTTTTGATTTAATATTTAAGCAATAAACATAGGCGAAACAAGAAAAGAAAAATCAAAACATATGCATAAATAAATCTGATTCATAACTATGTAATACAAATATGGTATAGAAATATACCTGGTTCAGACATGGATAATTGCAAGCACCATAGTTAGTTAGATCTGATGTTGGCGTAGAATTCCCTTCAAAAGCACCTTTAAATCCAGCAGGAGGAGGTGGTGGTGGTCCTGGATAATACGCTGAAAAGCGGGTATTATCATCATTAACAGTAACCGGCAAAATTATTCTTGAATTACTTCAAGTAAACCATATAATATTGATAGCACTAAAAAAGCATCCGCTAACCAGATCCATCATTCGGTGGAGGAGGTGGCTTTTTATTATCTGAACCGCTGCCATCAGAATACATCCAACCATAACCTTGCTGAAAATTTTAACTAAACAAATGTCACAATAAACTGCCCCAAAATAATACTTTGTTCTAAATAAACGCACATCTCCTACAGCCAACACAGTATCTATTAGTAAGGAAACCTACTCCGCCTTGATTTCTAAAATCGATCAACATTTGTTCAGCAGCAGCAACTTCATCTTCACGCATAATATTTGGGTCAGGAGTGAATGGTATTCCTGCACACTTTGCAATTTCAATCATATATCTGGAAAAATTAAATTGAAGCTCTTTTTAATGGAAATAACGTTTCATCATAAGTTGTGGAATAACTAAATATTTTTTTCTTCCTTTTTTTCTACAGTATAAGAAATAATGAAATCACACCGTTCCACCAAAAGTTTCGGAGGCGCTTGCACACTTAGCTTGGCTATCAGTTTTGGCGATACTTTAGCAGGATATTCTAACTGATTATTACGCGCTGCTTCAGCAAAAGTTTTGCCATATTTCATAGTCAGCTGGTCATTAATCACCTAAATTTTGCAAATTATTTCAAATCAAAAACAAATAAATTAATAGAGGTCTTGACGTACTAAAATAAATTCCTTGAGAAGTTCAATAACGTTAGTAAAGCAATGTGAGATTTCATTATAGAATAATTTATTCATATATATGACATAATTGTATGCTGGACAGTCTACACATATTACGGTATTAATGTTGCAGCTTGCAAATTTTAATGCCTAATCCAATAGCTGACTGAGAGAGTCCGCAATTAAAATTATTTCATTTGAATGACGCTTTTAGACACTGTGATTCTGCACTTAGATGAGGTACCAAAGAAAGTCCGTTGAGGAGTTCTAAGAAAATCTCATGAAAATTTGTTCCAAGAAGGAGATATCGTTACCTTGAATTCACTCACATCTGTTGCCACACGAGGAGCAGCCCATATAATATTAATTACTGCTTCAGCAATTCCATCATCAAGTTGCCTATAACATTTTTCGTTACAATTAATCTGCAAGCAGAGATAAAAGATGAAAGTCAGAAAACAATACATACTTGATTTGCTGTATGAGACCAAATCGTGCCAGAATAAGATCGCAATACATTTCCAACAATTCGTATGCTTCAACAAGAAAATCTTCTCTTATGATATGCTCTACTCTGATACGAGCACGGTCTTCCTTGTGATCTGAAGTGTATATTAATGGAATATCTAATTCATTTTAAAAATGTTCATCATGTTGGAATAAACAATTTATGATTACAGTTCTAAAATGTTCATGCCAAAAAAATTACATGCAGTGATGGACATTGTCTGTTACAATTTGAAATACAAAGTTCTAATTCACATCTCAATAAGCTAAATATATCTATAAAAGTCTGTAACTGTATCAATTTTTGTATATTGATACAATTACGGACTAAAATATTCATAGCTAGCGAGCCATCAATAAAAAAAGAGTAAAGATGCATAATGAAAAAGGATACTTTAAACATAATTTGGAAGGGCTGCATAGATCATGCAAGTTTATGTGTTTCTTACCAGAAACCTAAACAACTGACTGCACCGACAAAATGTTGGCGTGCAAAAAATATTTCTGAAATTCAAAACAAACTTGCAATGAAATCAGCAATTTCGGTACGTGATTTCAGTGCCATCTCAGTTTTTTTCTTCTCCAATAATTTCAAACGATTGATTGCCAAACGAAGATTTGTTTTTAGTTTTGAATACTGTGTTCCCCAACTAATCGACATTTCTACTCCTGAAGACAATTATTACTTCATCACAGAAAAAACCTGCCACAAAAAATAATTACCACAGTGATCCCTAGTTGATAAACAAATAAATATCATGGAAAAATTTTTTCTATAAACGATGTATATCTTCCCAATGCAAATCTTAACTTCATACTTATTATTTGAGATAGTAAATCAAACGGTAATCAAAGTTATCACGAACAAATCTGTTGGCAGGAATGTTGATTCAAACCTGCCGACAAATATGGCTTCCGTCAATTACTTTAAAGGCGTAAACGACCCACGCATCACATTTCAAACAGTGTCATTCATTCCAACATGCAACAAAAAAAAAACACCTCGGACCAATCAATAATCTCACTAATCTCGTCACATTCCTTTTAGTTTCACCGCTTCATTTAAGCATACCATCACACTTCAAATACTTTGTGAAATACCAAATGGTATATTTCAGACCAAAGAAAAGATTTTTTGTTTTCTATGCTGGTTGAATTGAAACAAGTGGAATTAGTTTGTGTGAAGACTGTTTTAGAAAAGTAATGATTGCGAAGTTACTTTGGATAAGATAAAAACATTAGCACAGGTGAAATGATTAACTTCATCACCTATAGCGCTCATCTCTGAAACTATGAATTGATGCATAAGCCTTTTTTGAAATTATAGCTGTCTTTTTGGCATCAAAAAAGAATAACTTGTCTACTTCACCATAAGTGTGACTCGTAGCTCCAAATAATGTCGGAAAAGACTTTCAATAACTTACAGTGATTAGCTGTCTTGACGAGGCAATGTTCTTCCGCGATATTGCACTCAGGATTCTGACACTCCAAATACTTTTGTCATCGCTATAAAGGAAAGAAAAGTTGCAGACCAGTCTATCTACATAATTTAAAAACGCTTGATTCTGGTTTTTCATAAGTTGCTGGTTTGAAAATAAAATATCTGAAGCTGTCTCGCTTTCCAAGCACTTCTGATACTCTGATCAGACTCTATCATACATTTCCTGCTATATGGCTCAAACAGTACTTGTCTTCCATCCCCTCCACCATAATGATCGTAGACTGCAGTAATGATGTCGTCCTTATGATCCTTCACATTTTCTTTAATCAGCAAACTTCATCAACTGCTTATCAATTTTCTTTCCTTTTTTTAGATCTCTTGTTCTACATCCATAAAAAACTCCTACATCCTAACGAATGCCGAATGTCGCCTCCGTGATTGTTTTATTAAGCAGCACACAGCCCACACCCCCCCGATCGTAAAACAGTGTAACCAAATACACGAAGATTGATGGAAAATTTTCACAATATTGATATCATTGTGATGTACTGTTGTCTTGTAGTTGTCGCATATCAAGATTTTTGCTATTTGATCCTCGAGCGATT